TAAAATACTGTGTAAAGCTTAGCTGTAAAGCCAAAAGTCTCTGATTGGCTGGGGAGCAGCTCAAAGGACCAGTGTGCATGCTTTGCAGACCAGAGGACTGGGTTCCATCCCTAGCACCACATGGTCCCTAGAGCACTGCTGAGCATAGAGCCAAGAATAATCCCCACACTAACAGACAGACTACTCTTTTGTGTGTATGTGTGTGTGTATATATATATATATATATATTCTCTGTTCACACTCTATCTTACTGATCCTGGACTTAATTCAGTGGTGTGAGGGCTCTTGGACAGTTTTGACTGTGTGGTGCTGCTCTGGTTTAAGGGTGGGGGAAACAGAGCCTCTCTTTCTCAGATGTCTCCTCATCTGCAACTGTTCCAAAGTGATGATGTAAAAATCCAGTCTCTGCCACACAGTAGTCTTTCCAGCGCTCAACTAGTTTTTTCACAGTGAGGCACAAAAATGGAGAAGTAAAAGGACAGATGTGCAGAGGTACACGGAGCCATTTAGTGCCAGACCAAGGTTATACATCAGGAGATAACTGAGTCTCCAACCCTCATATATAGTTGAAAGGCAGGATGTGTATATAGGAAAGAGTGAGGGAAAACCCCAGATAGTCAGTGCCCATCAATGTCTAATTACCTCCACAAGTGTTTAGAATACATCACGATTTCCGGAAACTGAAACTCTTTTTCCACTGAATTCTTCTAAAAATCGACGAACAACAGAATGACAGTGATACAGTGATCTGTGATATAGAGAACCTTGGACCCCCAGTGGCCAGTGGTAGAAATGAGCAGGGAGAGAAGAGAGAGAGAAAGGAGCAGTTGACAAAAGAGAGTACATGAAGCAGTAATGAGACAAAGAGCATGGGGTAGCAAGAGGAAGTAATGAGAAGGAAGAAGAAAGACAGGCGCCATCAAAAAGAGGAAAGGTATCACACCTGTTCCATGTGGAAGGGTTTTATTTTGTTTTTTCTGGGCCATATACAACAATTCTCAGGAATTATTCCTGCTCTGCACTTAGGAATCATTCATGGTGGTGCTTGGTGGACCGTACAGGATGCTGGGGATAGAACCCAGATCCACTGTGTGTAAGGCAAGTGCCCTATGCACTGAACTATCTCTCCAATCCCTCCCTCAGGCAGAAGGTTTTTATCCATCAAGGGGAAGACCGTCCCCTAGATACCACTGGAATGTATTCCAGCCCATCTGTAAGTCTAGGTGCTTCCTTGCTGCGTGGTCTTCAGCTTCTCCCTCCTCCACAGTATTTCCCACATTCTTCCCCTTTCCAAACTCAACACACAATGATAGGTCTATTGTCGGTTTGCTTCTGAAGTTCCCTGGTTCCCAGGAGCACAGTGAGGGCTGGTTTATATGCTCTTGAGTGGATGCAGATTGGACGCATCCTCCACAAGCACCATGACCTTCCAGGGTCCAAGAAAGCACGACAAGCTCTGAACTCGGGCGTGTACTCACAAGACCAGAGGCTCTGATGTATCTGCCAAGAGAATAGCCATTGAGATCCTTGCTCTTCCCCATTCCACTCATACTCGCCCTTAGATGATGTTTCCATGGCAACGCAGCACATGTTTGGAAAGGATCAACCAATCTGTTCCGCCTGTTTACATTTTCTTGTTTGGTTTTTTGGAAGTTGTCATTGCTTTTTTTTTTTTTCTGCACGGGTGTTGCAGTTAAAGGGTAGAATTGATTCTGTGAGGCATGATGCACACTTCTCAGAGTGAAAGCCAGGCTTTTCTCAACGGTCATCAGCACACTCACATTCACATGCTCTCACACCACCCTGGCAGTTGGGTACCAGACCGTGCAGCCACTGGGCACCTGTCCTTTCTCTGGATTCTTATCCAGACCCCTTATTACCAGCACGCTGGACCCTTTCCAGTTCTCTCGCAGGTCTGTAATCATCTGAGCATGACCCTATTTGGGATAAGTGGGGACCAGTGAAAGATGTTCTCCTGGGACCTAGGGACGTGAGATAAGATGAAGGGCTCTTAGGGGAATCTTGCTTTCTGTCCTCAGCATCTATCTACATCTACATGGCCCCAAAATCTTATTGTCCTACATTTTCAAGTGAGGAGGTTAATTAGATAACCTCTAACAGTCCGCTTTCTCTCTCTCTCTCTCTCTCTCTCTCTCTTCCTCTCAGACTCCATAGCAGGCTCCAGTAACTTCTCCCTCAGATAAATTCCCTTAATGGAAATGCACTTTCGTAGAGGATAAGATTATTCCTACAGAACTGTTCCCTCCAGCCTCAGCTCTTTCCTCCTCTCTGCTCGCTCTGCCCCAGCAAACCCATCCCGCTCCCACAGGCCACGCTGCTCCGGGCCTTCCTGTGCACATCTCACCACCAGTAGCACCATTGTCCTGTCCCGCAGGGCCTCCAGTGCAGCAGACCCAGAGCCCGCATGTCTCCTGCCCTCCTCTTCCTCGAGTTCCTTGCTGCAGACACACCATCACTCACAAGTCCCCAGAATTAGCCGTCTCAGGGAAATGAGCTGTGCTGTTCCTTCTCTGCCTCTTCCCCCAGCCAAATTACATATTTTACCTCTCAAATCCACCTACCTCTCTTACCAGCTCCCCTGTTTCTCCCTCTCTGCAAGCCTTCGTGATCTCTCTGTGGGCAGAGGTGGGGTGGGGCGTCACTCCCCACTCTCCCACCTTCCAGGGTCATGCTCATGCCCCAGGCGAGCACCTGACTCCAGAGCACAGCAGGGGTCAGATGGGAGGCTGCATGACTCTCTGCGTCTTCATGGAGGCTTCTGGGATTACAGAGGGAGTATCCCCCTCACCCTCAGCATCTGGTGCCAAAGCATGTCGTCCCCAAGCCATCATGGGATGAGAGGCTGCGTGGTCATTCGGCCATTCCCCCACCCCACCACCTTTGGTAACACACTTTTCATTTCAGCACTATCTGCTTTGCATTTAAATCCAACATTACTTAGTTTTTGGTTTGGGGTTTTTCTTTCTTTTTTTTTTTTTCGGTTTTTGGGTCACACCCGGCGATGCGCAGGGGTTACTCCTGGCTCATGCACTCAGGAATTACTCCTGGCGGTGCTCGGGGGGACCATATGGGGTGCTGGAAATCAAATGCCCTACCTGCTATGCTATAGCTCCAGCCCCATTACTTAGTTTTTAAAGAACCAAGACTCCCACCCATGGTGATTTATTCCTAGGTCATGGCCCCAGGTAACCATCCCCAGACGAAATTTATAATATTCGAATGGGAATGTAGGGAGGGAAGAATCTGCCTCTGAGCTGCTGATTGAATTCTACTTCTAACCTTCCCCCACTACTGCCTGCTCCAGTGTATATCACCACACGGGTCAGTGATTCTTGAACTTCTGTGTTCCTCTGAAATTGTTGGAAAATTGTCTGTGATGCACATTTCTGAGCGCCGTAAGCAGGAGATGCCCTTGAGTAGGTCTGTGTGGGGACCACAATTCTGCACTTTCCAATGTGGAAGCCACTCTCCCCATGGCTGGGCCTGTGAGGTTCTTTGCCCCTCTCTAGTATGTATAGGGGATCAGTCACATGTGGGTGGGCCCAGGGCCATGAGTGGGCTTATCTTGCTGCACAGCCCACCCACCAGTGCCCACGGGCTCTAGAACATTCCCAGCAAATAGGTAGAAGGAAGTGAGGTTTGGAAGGCTCTAAGGAGCTGCGCCTACCAGCAGAGGAGGAAAAATCAATCTGGGCGTGAGGCGGGATGAGAGCGAAGGACCCCGGACCTGCTTGAAGGACTTGGCTGAATGCCGTGTAGACGGGCTATGCTCTAAGCGGTGAGAGGTGACCCATGATGGATTCAGGTGCCTGGGCCTGGTGGGGCATTAAGACTGCAAGAGTCAGGGGAGAATAAAGCAATGAGTGGTGAGGAAAGTCTGCGAATCAGCCCCAATATGTCCACCTGCTCTGAATGAGCCAGTGAGTGTGTCCTGTGAAGTGTGGATTCTCTGGGAGCTGCATTTTTAAATCACAGCATTCTTTCCAAGTGGCAGAAGGAGGTATATGAGAGATTGTGTGTGTGTGTGTGTGTGTGTGTGTGTGTGTGTGTGTGTGTGTGGCGTAAGGTGTGGGGGGTGGAGGGGTGGGCTCGCTGTGTCCCTTTTCCATTCACACACCTGGTGCTGCCTCCGTCTGCAAAGGAGACTTTTCCTTGCTCTGTTTGTTATCCTTGGACCAACCACTTGAGTGTTTCAGGAGAGTTCTGACTTGAGGATGGAGGTATCTGGGCGATGTCTTTGCTGTGGTGGTTGTTAGCTCACCTGGGCTTCCGTTTCTTCACAGTACTTTCAGAGAACTCGATTTGGTCTCTCCCTAAGACCATGCCTGCTCTTGGGGGTTAAGACTTCAAAGTGTGGTGCCCTTTTGCTGTGGGTCCATGGCATTCTATGTTGCTCCCCTGACTTAACTTCCCTTGGTGGCAAGACATTATGGCAACTTCTCTCCTGGGAACACACATTAAAATAAATGTTCACCGATGAAATAAGCTAGATTTTCCCCAGTGCATCATTTTTCCACCCCCCGATGTTGGCATTTTTATGGGGAACATTTGAAGACTAAAAATAAAAGCCCCCTGGGGGCCGGAGAGATAGTACAGCGGGTTGGGTGTTTGCCTTGCACATGGCCGACCTGGGTTTGGTCCCATATGGTCCCCCAAGCACCACTAAGAGAAATTCCCTAGGTGTACAGGAGCCAGGAGTAACCCCTGAGCATCACTGGGTATGGCTCAAAAAGCAAATAAAATAAAATAAAATCTCCCTAAGACCCCGTGGATTAAGTAGTGCTGGTGAAACACAGTGGAATTGGGTATTTGTCCTCAAATGGGGTGTCATCCAGTAAACTCCCCCCACCCCGGATCCTACCTTAGAGGCACAACATTCTGTTCTACCTACTGAGTCAGATCTGCTGAATTTGGAACTTTCCAAATCCCCAGTCTAATGACTTTTCTTTTTCTCTCTCCTTTATTTTTTTGTTTCCTAGGAACGAGTGGAATATCTCTTTCTCATCATTTTTACTGTGGAAGCATTTTTAAAAGTAATAGCCTATGGACTTCTCTTTCACCCCAACGCTTACCTCCGCAATGGCTGGAATCTTCTAGACTTTATAATTGTGGTTGTAGGGTAAGTTTGCTCCTTTTCTCTCTCCTTTAGCATCCCCGGTACACACCATTTTATTATGTGTATATATATATACATATACATATACATATGTATATATATATATATATATATATATATATGGGCTGGAGCAATAGCACAGCAGGTAGGGCGTTTGCCTTGCACACGGTCGACCCGGCTGACCCGGGTTCGATTCCTTTGCTCTTCTCAGAGAGCCTGGCAAACTACCGAGAGAATCTTGCCCATGTGGCAAAGTCTGGCAAGCTCCCCGTGGTGTATTTGATATGCCAGAAACAGTGACAAGTCTCAGACTCACAATGGAGACGTTACTGGTGCCCACTCAAGCAAATTGATGAACAATGGGAGGACAGTGTAGACAGTGATATATATATGTGTATATATATATATATATATATATATATAGTTGTTGTTGTTGTTGTTGTTGTTGTTGTTTTATTGGACCACATCTGGGAGATGTTCAGGCAAGAGGAGAGACTACATAAACATATTTGGAATTCAGACTTTCCCCCAAAGGGAGGCTGCTTTTGTCTAACAGTGTCCTCCCTCTGATCCTGCTACAGCTACAGGAGCGCGCGCGCACACACACACACACACACACACACACACACACACACACACTTCAATCTGAGCCTCTTTAGGGGCCTCCAGTCCTCTCCTCCACCCAAGGACATTCCAAGCTCTCTCTCACTCTCCGAGCACACTGGGACTTTCAGCTCCTCTGACCTAGTTCCTGCTGCCTGAACACTGAGCACCGACATCTGCTTGCCTGTGAGTTTGTCATACCTGGAAAGGGACAGGGCCAGCACCCCAACACTGCAAGGTACCCACCCCACCTCTTCAGCGGTCTCATTGCATGGCCCCACCAACAAGGCTATGCAAGATTTTGGTGGGAGAGAAGAAAGTGAGAAACTCTGACGGTGAAGGTGGCAGATGACCAGACCCAGACCAAATGTACCTTCCCCAAACGCCTGCTTGCTCCTCTGTAGCATATAAGAGGAGGCAATGCCAATATATGCCAAAAAAACCAAAGTGAGAATAATTTATTTTTAATGAGACGGGTAGCTGAGGGCTCCAAGGGTTGTGAGGACCAGTTTTGAATATCCAGCCCAGATGGATGTACTGGATAATTCAAAGCTGGAGCTCGGCCATGTGGTACTCGTAGCCTATCAGTGCTGGGTGCCACCCCCCCGACCCCAGAGGGTCACAGCTAGCGGTGCTGGGGTGCAGAGTAGGGAACACAGTGCCAAGGATCGAACTAGGGGCCTCGTGTCTGCCAGGCATGCACTGCTGCCCATTGAGCTATCTCCCTGCCAACCTCCAATTAAGGAATCCTGAATAAAATTGTAGATGTGATGATGTCCATATCAAGGAATCCATAACTTCACACATAGATCCTTTATGAAAACTCATCCCTCGCAGGCCGACATATGCTGTGGAATGTGTAATTTGGTAAGATGCAGCTGATGAAGTCCCAGGCTCTCATCTATTTTGTAAAGAGAAGGCGCCTTTCCGGAGACGCTGCCTCAGTAACAAGTTGGCTGCTTCGGGAATGAGCCCAAAGCAGGGTTAAGTGGAGCCTTTTCGTGTTTTCCCTCTGAGCCTCAGGACAGGCTTCTGAGTTGAGGCTGTGAGGCAGCTTCTCCCTGGAGCCTGTGGGCTGTGAGGCCTTCTGCTACATCCCAGGAAGGACTTCTCTCCGTGGCTTCTTCAGAGCCCTCCTCTTATCTCCTGGGAGTGTCTGGTCTTTCCAGCAGGAAATAACACAGGAGCAAATCAGGATCATTTAGGACTTATTTCCTTGTCTCTAGCCATCTGGATGGCTCATTCAAGCAGTCAGGAGCTGTTTCAGGGGGTTTTCTTTGTTGTTCTTATTTTTTTAAGCTGACCAGTGAGTGAGATGCTTTGGCCACATGAATATCAGGGGTATTGAGGTGACGTGGGCAGACTGAAGTCATCAGAGCTATGTGCCAAGTATAGTTCTGGCTCCAGAGTGAGGATGTGATTCCATGAGACTTAGTTCTTTCCATTCATGCCAGAATACACTAAGAGGGACTCACGAGACACCTTGGAGTAACTTAGCAAACCTCAGAGACAGTCTTTAAGACTTGTTCTGATGCATAGAAATAGCCTTTGGAATGACACCCGTCACTTCATAGCTGTAGGTGCCACACAGAAACTGGCTTTATTTTTGTTTGTTCTGAGGTTCAGAAGTCACATCCAGTGATGCTCAGAGGCTAATTTCTTCCCTGTGCTCAGGAGTGACCCCTGCTAGTGCTCGTATGTAGTGATAAGAGTCAAACCGGGATCAGCTGCATGTCCGGCAAATGCCATACCACCTGTACTATCTCTTCAGCCCTGCGTGTCATCTTCCCATGGGCATGGACTGGGTTTTAGGCAACTAAGTACCCATGATGCGCTCTGCCCTGTTTAGGGCCTTACTGCTGCCGGGGAGGCAGGAAGCAGAGGTTCAGGGTACCCCCAGGTGCAGATGGGCAAGTGGATGCCATCAGCCCCACTCCTTGCCATCCAGCAGCTAGCTTGGACCTTGCCTCTCCCCACAACCTCCCAGCCACCGAGGCAGATTGTGTGGTGTCTACCCATATTCCAGTCACACCTCCAGGAAGTCTAGGTTGGGGGGGCCAGTGAGGAGAGAGAGAGAGACGTAGGGATCCTGTGGCATCTCTGTTTGGCCGTGGAGGCTGCCATGGAGGCTTGCTCAGGTGCTGGCTTCTGAAAACTCTTTGGACCTTCCCCCTCTTGGATCTCATGCACCCACATTTGACTGTCTTCCTCTTAAGGAAATAAAGTCAAACACATGCTTACATTGGACTGTACTTCCCAGGGAATCTTCATTTGAGGCTAAATAAATACGATCCCATCCCATCTAACTTGAAAAGCAACCCATGCGCCCACACAGAGACCCTTACGCTTGATTCCTGCTCTTTCACTGCATCATCTTCTCCTGCCTGACTCATCAAAGTTCATGGAAACCCTTGCTTCCCTCTGTCTCCTGGAAGACACCTGCTTTCCTGGGACCCTCTTCTGCTGAAGATTTCCTTTGGCCTTCCAGCCTTCTACCAATCAGGACTCTGCCCTGTCAGGTGTCTGAACAGGGCTGAGCCAGCCACTCTTCCTGACTACAGTGCTATTCTGGCTATTCTCAGCCTTCCCAGGAAACCCTAAAGGGATCCTTAGCAGATCTGTCTGCCTTGAGAGTATTCTGGCCACCAAGCCTCTTGCCACACTCCCATCTCCCTCTCCATGGGACACCTGACCTTTCTGACTCTGGGATTTCTTGAGTCTCTTTGTCCATTTGAAGCAACCCTGTCATTAGCTAAGCAATTGCTTAGCTGGATAAACTCTGGATAGACTCTTCAAGCATCCACCCTGGACCAGGGTTTGGAGGCTGGGTTAGGCACAGAGCGATGGTTTCACCTTTCTACAATCTACATGCCAGCCCCTGAAAACCAAAACAGGACATGTCCTGATGCCTTCCTGAACTTCCTGTCCTTTCCAAAGTAAAAACGGATACTTCAGTAGAATCTATCCAGTTGGGCAGGAATTAAAGGAGAAGAAAGTGGTATAAAATTTGTGCCTTCACTGACTATTTTGTGATCATCTTTTACTCTGATAAGCCTATTGCTAGCTTCCAGGAAATAGTCGGAACAAAGTGTGGTTTGGATTTGGATTATTTGATCTTCATTTCCTAGGGTCTGGAGTGATCTCTATTCAGTGGAATTAGCATTCTTAGCATACTCTGTGTGGGAAAAGAGATCACCCTCCCCCCTCCCATTTGACTGCCTCTCATTGGGGTCGAGGTATTTCCAGCTAAATCAGAAACCACTGAACTGCCATGCTGAGGTGAAAGCATGGACAGACCTTAGATGTGGTCTGGCTGGGGTTGTCAGACTTCTCTTCAGTGCAGAATGCGTTGTCCAAACAATCTTGCTCAGAGCATCCATGCATAAAGCATCAAGGAGAAGTCACTGGACATACGAGCAAGGAGCCAGAGCCCAGCCCCTCCACTCTGGTCTCCCTGCCCCAGAGCGTTTCCCGAGGGGTTCCAGACAGCACAGTTTGATAATCCTTGACTTAGACCAATCTATCCATTGCTGAAGTCTGTGTGGAGCTGAATGTATACAAAAACTAAGCCCCCAGATGAAGTTTCCTGTTTCCATATCCAGTTCTCTGAGACATGAATCATGGAAGAGGCATTTGACTCTATACTTTAAGATCTAAGTTGCCTTGGCCTGTGTTTGGGTCTAAATTGAGGCCCAGTTCTGTTATCCCTGGGCTTCTTCCTGGTCCCCCTGGCCAATCCACAGCACAAACATTGCCAGCAAGGAATTGGCATCCATAAAAGTCACGAAGGACAGACCTTACCCTTGCCTCCTTCTCCTCCCGTTGTTCTTGGCTCTAGTAAACACCCAAGGGCTTGATTCTCTTGCCTAGACAGTTCTGTGCATCCTCTGATCCCTTCTCCTTCCCTTCCTGACCCATTCTCCCAAACGCATCCCCATCCTGGGTCAGCAAATACTGTCTTTAAAGGGCCGCGTTCAAATCTTCAAGTGTGCAAACCACAACTCTATCCCAACTCTTCCACTTGTGTGGCTATAAGGAGGGTGTCAGTCACTCGATGCACGAAGCAGTACATCCTCAGCGTTGTCTTTGGCCCCTGCTTATATTTTCTCCCTCTCCCTCAAGAGCCCCACTCTCTTGCGTCCTCAGCAAACAGTCTCCTTTGCCTAGAGGCCTCTAGCATGGAAGGGAGGGCCCTTGTTTCCCCTCATTTCTGCTTTCACTACACTGTGTGTATTCAAAAAAGAATACGCGAAACCACGAAACTTCCTTACCGCCTGCGTTTGGCGATCTCCAGTCGCTTCCCCCCACTCCCCTCCCCCCGCCCAGAGGGCTGATGGCAATGGGTGAACAAAGGAGAAGACGAGGGCCAGGCTGGTTGGTGATCAGCTGCAGCGTATTCC